CGAAAGAGGTAAAATGCACAAGCATTATGTTATTTTCATACCTAAGGTAGTCTAGGCCTTCCACACTTTTATGGCCCCAAGAACATTCACAGAATGGCATCGTCCCTCATTTATCATACCAGAAAACATAGCACTATAATTTTCGGATACCTTTCTACACTACCCTTCATCAGTTACACAGGGGACCGTAATATTTCGATTACTAAGTAGGATAAGTCACATTAATCTCGAATCACTGAGCAAATCCAAGTCATAAAATTGAGAGTACTGTTAACAGTGGTGGTTTGGACAGATTTTAACCTACAGTTCCCATGTGATTCTCATACACCATCATGAAGGCCGCTGCAAAAATACCATTTGGCAGCGACTGCAGTACGATACGAGACATCATCGCGTATATTTACAAGAATGCAGTGGAGACAGATGATCTAGGAGACACACCCTTGCGAAATCAACAGAAGAACAAAGACGTCATGCACGGAGCATTTCAGAAGACTGACAACGGTCCAATCTAGGAAACTGCACATGTGTCCGTGAAGAAAGGTCTTCAGTCAGTGAATTCTTTCAGTGCCAACGCACGGATTCGAAATATGGGCCGTTAGGAGTATGGCTGTTCAACTGCAGACTGTGAAACAGAGCATAGGAAAGTGTATGTTGGGAATTGCAATAAGAAATAAAATGACGAATGAATTGATCAGAGCTAAACAGTTCTGTGACATCACTTTTAGAATGAAGAATTGAAATAGGAATGGACAATATGGGTTGAAAGAAAAATCGACAGTCGTTGGACCGGAAAGATACTGGATAGATTGCAGAATAGATAAATGGCCGCAGTGAAAACCTTCAGATCGGTGGAAGGATGAGCTGAAGAAATATCTTGCAAAACATGGATAATAACCATAGAACACCAAGTTCTGTATAAAAATCTTACAGAGACGATAATCAAGTAATGCATGGCAAAATACTGACGACGACTATGATTTGTAAAAGATCTGTAGTTTTGTTTATTACAGATTGGGTTGCATGAATTTGCATCGTTAAAAACAAATTTCGATATTTTTACTTAAGCGCTTGATTTGTTCGACAGTTAAATGAGTGAGTGAAACCACAAAC